TATGTCTTACTACACGTAATGGTTTCGTACGCAGGTTTGATTGTGGGGTGATTGTATGTGCGATAATGTGGCAATATGTGCACCAGTGTGACGTGACCTGATCTTTGCAAGGCACTAACTGTAGCGTCTTACATGCAAACATGGTTAAGGGTTTTGTTAATGATCTAGTGCGTGGAATTAAGGACTGTAGTTGAAGTTTTTGTGTTGATGAACACTATGCCGTAGTTTTTTTGCGTTGGATTTGAAGGTTGTTTATTTTTGTTTAGGTTTTTGGGTTGATATTGTTGCATCCAGTTATACGTGACAATACATGATGTACTATTTTTTGGGCATTATGTACGCACCTTTTTGGGAATTGTGTAGTTGTGGGTGTGTAATAGTTATTGCTTAATGAAAATGGAATAAGCAATGTTGGATGGAAAAATGTTGTTCGCATTTGTTGTAGTCGTTTTATGAGTTCGTTGTATATACGTATTTTGTTATTACAATAATTTACTTAAAAGCAAACAGAAAAATTATGGAGCATGCTGTTTAGTGAATTTTTTGATGGATGCTGGTGCATGTGTTAGTGCTACAGGTGTGGTGGTGTCGTTAGGGACAATACATTCAACAGTGCAGTGTTAGATGTGGTGATGTGTGTTGCGGGTTGTATTGAAGGGGTGAGTGTGCGGAAGCTTACGAAAGTTGTGGCAGTACAACTGTGTATCAGTTTACACATATTTGTCTGTACAAAAATTAAAAATAAGCTATGAAAAGACATGGTAACTGGTATAATCAGATTGAAAGGAAACATGCAAAGCCACAATTGTTCATATGGAAAATAAAATTGTTCTGTATGAGGTATGTAAGCATCATACATGTCTGAATGCGTGTGTTTGTTACACTCCGTTATTTGTGCGAAAAAAAATTTGAAAGTTGGAAATAAATGTTCGGAAACTTTTTGGTTACCTTGAATACTAGATTGGTTCCTTGCACGTCTTCCTATTATGATTCCCAAACGTTGGCACCGACCATACCTAATTTGTTGAATTTGTTCCCCCCTGGAAAGCATCCGTTTCTTCTTGGGCCTGCCTGGTTGTCTTTTGACAATTGGTGGTTGAATGACAAAATCATCCATGTTAAACGGTGGTTTTTCAACAGTTGGAATAGGGATAATGTTGTGTGCATATGAACTTCGGTACTCTACTATATGGTAATACGCATCAACGAAATTGTAAAGGTCTTTGCCACTGTTACGGATTGCAATGACTACGTGAGCACACGGGAAATCTTTGATTTGCCACTGAAAACATGAGCATGTATGCCTTCCAACATCAACCAGCACTAATGGGAAGGAGTGAACCTCATATACTACGTCATTATTTGATTGGCTCACAAGCCACGATCTGCCTTTATTATACGTTTTAACCAAACGTGCTTCCATCTTCGGGCATACAACACCATGCCACGCTTCTGCCTTGCGTCGACGTTTGGCCCTCTGCCGCATAATCTGAGTCCGGATACTGTCTACCATTTGAGTTATTGAAAGGTGTCACGCATCTCGTATCCATGAGTTAAATGACTCAATTGCATTGGAACTCATTTCGTCGTAACGTGCACCGCTAGTGGATAAAAAATGAAAAACATTTGAAAACAATTTACAAAGTAAAATGTTCACGTAGGTTGTAATACAAAGCAACTTGAATATGCTATAGGCATGAATGAAAATGGTTTCGAAAAAGTTATCGGAAATAAGCATTCGCCCAATATGCAGGGGGCAAATCCTTCAAAAATGCTGGAGCGACATTACATCCGGATTTCATGAACTCCCCTAAACTATGGTTGAATGCAGCGACTATTGGAGCATATGCGCACCCTCGGAATTTAGCCAACAACCCAGCCCGGTAAGAATTGTTTACGTAACGCATTTTGTCTTACAAGTTGCGTTGCAAATGTTGTAAGCAGAATACATGATGAGCGGTGGGGAATACGATGGGTACTGATTCTATCAATCCAGTATGTCGGTCTGAAATGAACATAAGTGTTCTATGTCTATTCACCACATTCCCAAGGTGTCCCAAAAACCAACACCAATTGGCAGTGTTCTCCGAATCAACGATCGCGATAGCTAAAGGAAACAATTCTGTTTTTTATTTTTTATTTTTTTTCCAATTAAGAACAAAACAAGCACTGTTGATTAAAACATGTTAACAAATTTAATGGGACAACACACAATCGGGTGGCGTAAACACACAGCACCCGTACGAAGGTTGCAGCATAAACAAACCCATAATAGCCTGCCCAAAAGCCCAAGTGTGTGGAAACAGACCAAAATGTGGATATGATATTAAGGCCTCGTTTGGAAACAGGCTAATTTAGTAACTTTTTGGCTATTTGGCTAAAATATGAGCTAAAAAAAACTAGTATGTTTGGGATAACTTTTGGCTTTTTACAAAAAGATGTGCAAAAAGTAGAGAGAAAAGAGAATCTTTGACTTTTTGGTATGGGTTGTTGGCTTTTTGGCTAATTTAGTAACTTTTTGGCTTTTTGGCTAAAATGGAGGGTTCCTAAACGAGGCCTTAATGAAAAATCATAGTGTGCAACAACATACCTTGGTTACCATCTTTTGCAATGGCGGCTAACAAGTTCCCTTTGAATTTCCCTTTTAGAAACGTACCGTCCAAGAAAAGTAACGGTCTACAATGGTTAAATCCATCAATATATGCTTTGAATGATATGAAATACCTTATGAAACGATTGTTTTGATCGTCGTAGTCAATGTTGATATAACTTCCCGAGTTGTTCTCCATAACTACGTTACTATACCACCGTAATTGATCAAACGAAATTGAATGTGCACTGAACATTTCCCTACGAGCTTTCTCAACACCTAACTAGGCAACCCGGTAACTAACTTCTAAATCGTATTCTTTCTTCAAGTTGTAAACAACATCGGTAGGCCATGTGAGTGGTTTATCACGTACCCTCTCGGATATAACATCACACACTATGTCAGACCCAGCACGCGGATTAGTGGGTGTTCGAACAGCGACACAACAAATGTGCTCGCTATTCCGTTTACGAATGTAAAACAATCCATTGCCATGTAAGACACGTGCGTATATAGACCACATACATCCTTTAGTTTCCCTCATCATGCATACTGCTGTAATCCAAACGGAATCATTCTTTACATATTTGAACCGAAATCCACACTCAACGGCATACTTGCAGAGAACCGTTCGGAACTCAACAGCTCCCCCCTCAAAACTCTGCCTAACATGTTGAATCCCATTAGCCCACGAACCAGGCAAAAAAACCTTATCTACACGAGGACAAAATTTGGCTAATAAATCTTGTTCATCATCCATGCCTGTCTCATCAAACGGACCATACATTTGACATGGGACAGTCCGTGCATTGTGAGGCAGGCTGTCAATGTTATCTGTATCTTCGACGTCTCCCAAATGAATGATGACGTCAACACATTGTAGGCGAAAAGACCGCGCAAGTGAGACTATGTTTTCCATATCAACATCGTTCTTCAACGTGAAGTTATTGTATCCTGGGATTTTGAAAAACAAACACATATTATCGGCTGTCAACCCCAAAAATTTGCCACACACATGGTTCACCAAATCATGGTAACGAAACAGGGCTTGCAAATTGACGGCGGCATTTGTATTACCGTAACAACAAACCAGCATGACATGCATGTCCATTACCTGTATACATTTAACATAACATTAATAACATAACCCATACCAGACGATGTCATACAACTCCCCCTGACTACCACAACCCCGAACTTAACCAGTGCCACAAATCCCTTAACAATAACATACACGCAACCCACCCATTGAGTCCCCCACCCCCACCCAGATCATACACTACAACAGTTACTGTCGTCAAGTCATAACACATTTGAGACACCCCCAACCACTTGGGAAACAAAAACGACGACACCATGACATGGATACAAGAACCCCATCACAAAAACTGAGACTACCAACAAAACAAAACAACTCTGCATTATTATGAAGGGAAAAAAATACATACCTGCATGATGGTGAGTTTGACGATTGGTAAATGCTATCCCTGCTGCGACGTCACACAGACGGCGCACCAAACCCCTTCCCTAAAAAACCCAAAACCCTAACAGTCAAATTGTGGAAATGTGTATCACCGAATCAATGAAGTTACCAAAAATGAAGGTGATCCCATAAAAAATAACCCAATGAAATAGGAAAGGGCATAACTGTCCAAGCCTCACTACCAAAGCTGGAAAATAGGATCAGATAGATCTAAACCTCTCCACCAGTGGGACTTATCAGATAAACATTTCAAAAGTGGGACTAATTGGTATAGTTATTTATGAGATGAGATTTATTGATAAATATTCCTATAAATTAGATTTTTCAACAACTTTCTCTAAAAAACTATACTGAATAATCTGATGATAAAAGAATTATAACCAACTCTATGAAAATAATAATAATAATAACAATAATAACTAAAATAATGATCAGGGTAATAAAAGGCGAAGTGAAAACTAAGACACTCCCGTTCTGATAGCCTCAACTATGTCGGACTACTTTCTCGAAGAGGTATTGATCGAAATTCCCTCCAGATTACCTGTAAAATCTCTGCTTCGATTCACTTGTGTGTCGAAACAATGGCGATCTCTCATCACCAGCCCTAGTTTTATCAACACCCACCTCAACAAGTCCACCAACAACACTCACACTCACTTGCTCCTACTCAGATACACTTGTCTCAATCCCAATCAAGAACACTACTCATTGCGTTTCGACAGCAAAACCTTCAACCACTACGTCCAATTCACTTCTCCATTCAAAACCCACTTCTATTTCAGGGTAGTTGGTACTTCTAATGGCTTGGTTTGTCTCTCCGACGATCGGTTTGGTGACAAACAAAATATAGTCCTTTGGAACCCTATGATTCGAAGGTATGTGGCCCTTCCAAAACCCAGTCTTTCTCTCGATTCCTATAGTCCTTAGATGTTTGTTCTAGGGTTTGGCTTTGATTTGCTAACCAAGGACTATAAGGTAGTTAGAATTTCTCACTTTGAGAGGCGAAAAAATGCAATTCCTCTTCCTAAAGTTGAGGCTTACTCGTTTAAAACTGGTTCTTGGAAAGCCCTGACTTGTGGTGTTCCTTCATATAATATGGTTGAGTATTTCTGGGAACATGTTTTTCTAAATGGTTTTGCACATTGGATTGCATACAAGCGAGTTGGGGATGGTAAATTCCATAATGTGATTTTATCATTTGGTTTTGGTGATGAATTGTTCCATGAGATTGAGCTCCCAGAAACAGTGGCTCCTAGTTTCCCGTTGCATTTGGGAGTTCATTTAGTTGGGACTATGATCGCGGTGAGTTTTATTGATTATAGTGCAAACCGTAAATGTGTTTCCATATGGGTGATGAAAGACTAGGTGTTGTGGAGTCCTGGACGAAGCAATATAATGTTGACTTTCAGGGAGGTTTAACATTGGTGTTTGGCTTTAGGGAGAGTGGCGAATTGCTTATAGGGACTAGAGGTGGAGATATGGTTTCGTATCAGCCTGAGAGCAATTGCATTGAGAAACATGGATTGCGTGGGGTCAAAGGCTCATTTTATGCCAGTCCCTATGTGGAAAGCCTTGTTTTGTTTGATGGATCAAATGGGGACTTGCAAGGGCAAGTGAACACTGATCCTGTTTTGCCGAAAGTTACAAATGAGGAAGAAGTAGATGAGAGCACACTCGAAATAGCCTTGAAGGGGAATTTTCTTTTTGCAGCTTCTTATATGACTAGTAGCCTGTTGGAGTTCCTACTTCAGAATTAGGATCAATCTAGTTTTTGGGCCATAGACATGTAAGTATCGGTAGTAGTAAGCTGCATAATCTGACTATCTCTTCTCTGAATAGATTAGTAATCCTAGTCTCTGTCCTTGACACCAGTGAATAGTATCTTAGGTTTTGATACACTGTGGAGTGTTTTGACAAATAGATGGCTAATGTCCTTTTGCTTACTATTTACATATTAAAAAAAGAGAGCCCTTTTCCAATGAAGGTTTGATGAACTTGCTTGCTGTTTTTTCTTGCCATGTTGTCTTCTAGGTATATTTTACGCGTTATATTATCCTTTTGTTGTCTTACATATTATTTCTCACTACTTTTCATGTATATGTTTATGAATGAGTTTACTTGTCAAAAGGTACATCTCCTCATGTACTTTTGAATGAATTTTATATGGAGGAAAGTTGCTTGATAAGCCCATCAATGATCTCAAAGATAAATTCTGATGTTTTCATAGAAACACAATTGATGAATGCATTTACCCCATATATGACTTCATTAAACTCTTTGTTTTCAGAGAATTCCTTAACTTGCATCAAAATACTTGTCTGTTTCAGACTTATTAGGAGCCATATATTCTTTGTAAATGACGAAAGGTCCATTAGAATATTTGAGGAGATATAAAATTTGTCTAGTGCACACTATTTTAGCATACCGAACCACTGAAGCTGTATGATACCTTATGGGAGATTGATATTGTTACCATTAAATCCTTTTTAGAAAAAGCATGTAGTTTCTGAAAGTAAACTTCAGGGAACTAGCTCATCAATTCTAATTGCTTATTGGTTCCTTGGGTGTCCAATAATGGAAATTTTGGTTTGGTCTGATGTGTTTGTTGTAGTTAGAATTTGCATGCCATTGGGTCGGCATTTCCTTAAAAAAAGTTAGAAGACTCTCAATTGTTTATATCGAAACTTTGAAATAAATAAATAGTTGTTAGAAAAACAATCAGGCCCGGTTGGTTGCTATAGAAAGATAATTGATGTGAATTAGATCTCATAGAAAATATAATATAACTGTAGAATTTCAATTTAGAGACAAGACAACCAAAGGCTCTTACAATTTAACTTCTTCAAGGAGAACTCCCAAAACTGTTTTGTATTTATTTATTTTTACTTTAGGTCTGGCAGAGTGTTTTGTTTTTGAATAGGAAAAAAAAAGGGGGGAAAAAAAAGAAGCACAAACATATATCAAATTGTAATTATTCACAGGATATGTGTGAGTTTCTTCACATGGTATCAAATTGTAAAATTAGATGTTGGGACGCCAAACAATGCCTATGAACCTTGCGTGTTTGCTACTACTGTGAACTTTGTGCTTTTCAACATTCAGTTATTTTGCACTATTATTGCTAATGAGAAATAGAATACATTTGTTTTGCACTTTTCTAAAACTTCACCATTTATTCTCACTTGCCAAGTAAAAGCATATGTTTCGTGTGTTATGAGATTCTTGCTGTAATAATACAGAATACCTATATGTTGCAATTTTTTTTTGTTACAGATATGTTGCAATTTTTATTTGGTTGCAAACTGACAATATTTGATTCCTTATAGGTTGTTCATTTTTATGAAATTGTTTTTTTATTCTCACTTTTAAATAAATTTCTAGTCAGTTATAAAGTATAATTGAGATACATTGTATTGATTTTACGATTATTTGGTCACTTTTTATTATTATTTTACGATTTAGGGTTTAGGACAAAGTGTAATTTATCATGCCAAAAAACATAGTGAGAACATAAGACGGTGAAACTGTGTCGTTTTAGGCACAACAGGGGAGTCACAGCAGTGACCCCATATTCTATTTGTAATTAATTTCTTATTGCTTGGAAGAAGAAAAAAAATTAAGACATATCACGAATGCACATGACATCAGATAAATATATCCGTGGCAATAGTTTCATAAGATATATATACATATCAAGAAACGTGTAACAACTTAATATTATAGCCTTATATGGCAATGTTTCTAATGTAAATTGGAATCATATGACTTATACTTATCATCTTCAAAAAACAAAATGAAAACACAAAATAAAAAAATATAATAATAATAAGTAAATACAAACTGTACAAAATTAATCAATTTGCAAAAATCTGCTTGTAGAAGTCTCCTTTCTTTACCTTGGTCCAGATAGAGCTAATGGAGACAATAGAGTACAACCAGCACCAAGGGCATCCTCTTGGTGATCAGCATCTGGAATTGTTCTTCGTATCACAGGATATATGAAGTTATAATCCAAGTTGTTTTCAACATCAAAAGAACCCTCCAACACCTTAACCACCATTGACATGGAAGGCCTCTTGGAAGAATCACTTTGTAGACATCACACAACGACCCTCATCATCTCCACAACTTCTGTACTATGTAATTGCATTTCATCATTGCCTTTATCAACGATATCAGTTGTTCCTCCTCTGCTTTCCTTTTAAATAGACTTAGTAAATGCATATCTTCCTCACGTTGAGATCTATCTAAATTTTTGCGCCCACACAACATTTCTCAGACCACAACACCAAAGCCATAGACATCTACTTTATCAGTGATAATTGAGTTCAACCATTCAGGAGCCAAATAGGAAGGTGTTTCCTTCATCATTGTAGCAACTTGGCTTTGGTCTCTATTAATTAGTTTTGGCAATCCAAAATTAGAAATTTTCGTATTGAAGTATTCATCTAAGAGGATGTTTTGGGGTTTGATATCTAAGTGAAATATTTTCTACCTACATTCCTCATGGAGATAGGTTAGTCCCTTGGCTATATCCATGATGATCTTCCTTCTGGATTGCCACCCAAGAGTGAGCTCTTGCTGCCTTTGAAAGATCTATGTATCCAAGGATCCATTGGACATGTACTCATAAACTAGAAGCCGATATGATTTTTCAACACAAAATCCAAGTAATCTCACCAAATTGAAATGGTGAATGTTTCCTACTGTCTCGACTTCAACTAAGAATGACTTTTTAACTTGACCAAAACCATTAAGACGCTTCACAACTACTTTGGTGCCATTTCTTAATATCCCTTGAAACACTAAACCAAATCCTCGTTCCCCGAGCTTATTATCAAAATTGTTTGTCATGGCTTTCAATTCTTCGTAAGAGAATCTAGGATGCAACCCTGGTACTTGGTCGATAAAGAACTCATCAGGTACCTCGGATTCTCCTTTGTTTTTGAAAATGAAAATGCAAGCGGCAACCATAAAACATACACCAAAGAAAGTTCCAAGACCAGATCCCAATATGACTCTAATGTTTGTTGATTTCTTTGGAGGAGAATTTGTTGGTGAAGGAATTGGAGATTTTTGCAGTTTAAGAAATATGATGACTTTATCATCCCCTCCCTCCTTATTTATAAGAGAATAGACTTCAGATAGCAATAAACAACCTTTTTTTGAATAGTCCCAGTCATGTGCAAACAAAGCGGCTTTGCATGAACAATGTTTCAAGCAACTCTTTTTGCAATCCTCTAACTTTGATTTCTCATCAATGTAGTAATTGCTTCTATTTTTGTATTACATGTTAAAGTAAAAGTAACTAATATTCTTAAGCTCTGAAAGGATGTGATATTGAGAATGGTTGCAAGAAATGGGTGTAACAAGGGAACATCCAAGATTGGATTGCCTAGAATTTATTTGCATGGAAGTGTTGCTGGTGGCAGTTTCCTCAAGACTACCGCATTGTCTGTTTGGTGAACAGATGTCGTAATTGCCGCATGCCATGGGATACCCACAGTCACCAATATCTGATGTCAACACATCTGCCACAACATTCCAATTCAATCCTCCCCACTCATAAGCCTTCAAATGCCATCAGGTTCCAACCTGATGAACTGAACTAACAATGAAACTGCAAGATAAATTTTTTGACCATTGAAGATTCCATTTTCGAATCTGACATCATCCCCAATTAAATTGGATTGAAAATAGACCAAGGGTGGATTGGATTCTACATAAGCCACCAGACTGTAATACTGAACTGTAAGAGAATACAAACCTTGAGTCCAGTTATACAAGGCTGTTGGGAGCATTGAACTTACTTTGTGTTCATGTAATTTTAGAGGATTCTTTTGTTATGTATCTTTTACGTGACTCATACTTTTTCCTTTCCTTTCCATCCCTTTAATTTTTTTTTTTTTTCAGGCATACAGTCGTTGGAGCTGCAGCTGGAAGGAGCCACACTGTGTTGGTAACTAAAGATGGACTCTCTTTCTCCTTTGGCTGGAACAAACATGGGCAGTTGGGCACAGGTTCATCAAAGAATGGTGGGTTTTTATTTATGGTTTACTTTAATTAAGAATAAGCATTGACTGGACCGGGCCAGGCTAGAAAAGTCTTATGCCCAACCCCAGTCCAACCTGACCCAAAACTGGCCCTAAAAATATCTTCCCAAACCCAGTCCTAAAATGATATTACAATCCCAAGCCTACCAACAAACTCGTTTATTACACTGACCCCCCCTAAGGTTTGGAGAAAATACAGCAAGCCTCACATTTTTGGCATAAGTACATTGAGCTCTCTTAATGTTTTAATATATATTGTACTTAATACCCTTTTTATCAAAAATTCATTAGTCAAATGTATAGAAAAATGATGTTATCTCTTTCACACTGAAATGTATATTTTTCATTATTTATCTTTGTGTCTTTACATCATCTGCATTAGTTTTGGTCCATTTAGTCTTAATAAAAGGGAGGTCAATGTAATTATGCCAAAACTGTGGGGCTTGTTGCATTTTCTCCAAACCTTAGGGGAGGTCAATATAAATGTTACAAGATCTCAAAAAATGTTACAAGATCAAACTTAGGTCTTGTTTGGTAAAGTTTCATAGCTTGTTTGTTGTTTTTGTTTAAAAAAAAATTGTGAAATTCATAAACAAAAATGCATTTGGTAGTTGTTTTCTTTTCCAAAAGATGTGGCAATAGTTTCTAAATTTTCCAAAATTTTAGGAATCAGGATTTTGGTGTTTTCACCTATTTTCAAAATGAGGTTTCATTCCCTCATCCCTGTCGTCCTGGTCATTGGCCACCATCTCCAGCTGTTAGCCCCTATTGCCAATCTCTACTCACCTTTGGCCATCACCCGCTTTCTACCATCATCTATAGCTACTCACCAAACTTCATGTTTTTGTTTTTATATGTTTTGAAAACATGTGTGGATCAAGGGATATGCACCCTACCACAAAATGTGTAACTTTGCCATAAAATTTCGTAACATTAAAGACAAAATGCGTAACCTCACCACTAATTGGTGTAACAAAAATTGTTATAACCAAGCCACAAATTTTTGTAACATCAATCACAAAATTTTGAATATTTTGTTGCACCAATTTATGGTGAAGTTACGCATTTTGTGGTTGATTTTACGAAATTGTGGTAAAGTTACACATTTTTGTGGTAGGGTACATATGGTGTGCACCTCTCGAAGAGGGGTGCACACCCTAGGCTTTCCTGTGGATCAAACATGTTTTTAATTTTATTCTTTTTAAATAAAAAATATGTTTCCAACAATAGGTCTAAACTGTTAAAACCTATCACCTATTTCACCCACTTAAACCTACTCCACTAAACCTAACCCACTACACCACTACCACCTCACCTACTCCACTAAACCTAACCCACTACACCACTACCACCTCCACTTCACCTACTCCTTACCTACTACACACTCACCCTCTTCTATATATAGGAATCATGAATCATTGTAATAGATAAATCAATAAAATCAATCAATAATACAATTCTCTATTTCTTTTTATACATTGATTTTTTTAACATGGTATCAGAGCAGGTTTAGAACCCAGTATTTTCACTTCCCCGGCGGGCGGCAACCTCACCTTAGCTGCCCGCTGGACCTCAACCTAGTCCACTGAAATTTTCTACACATACCTTCACTTTCCTGCATCTTCCAACTCTCCGCAATGCCAAGGTGGACCGGACTGGTTTATTTAGGGCTCCGGTCCAAGCTCCGGTTCGCCTGGACTTCGCCGTCGGGGTTCGGAGCTCGGCGCCTCTGGTTTCCCTTCACGGCGCTCTCGGCTTTCTCTGTTGGTCGGACTCTTTGGTCTAGGTTTAGAGGGAAAGGAAAGGAGTCGGCGGTCGCGGCTTCGGGTTCCGACTCGCCGGCGATTGTGTCGGTGGATGGTAGTGGCGGCGATATCGAGCCCAGCACTGCAACATCACTGATAGAGGATGTTGTCACTGAGAAAGATGTTGAACACTTATTGAATCTGCTTGAAAGCAAGGATAGGGAAATGGGGTGGCAAAATCTGATGGAACGCTCCACCTCAAACATGGCATACCAAGCTTGGCGCCATGAGCCCGAGACGGGACCTGTAGTGTACCGTAGCACAACTGTCTTTGAGGATGCAACTCCGAAGCTGGTTAGAGATTTCTTCTGGTATGCTGAGTTTCGCCCTAAATGGGATCCTATGCTTGCGCACTTCAAAATATTGGAGGAATGTCCTTCTACAAGGACGGTGATTGTCCACTGAATAAAAAATAAAACACAAAAAAGGTTTTCTTGAACATATGCATTTTCTTTTTTTTTTCTTTTTTTTGATCCAGCTTTGCAGAGGAGTGACAAGCCACGGCGTACCTTTTTTTATTTTATTTTTAAAACCCTCTCTCCACTCATTCATTTTATTATTATACCCACGTGGGCTGTCCCCATTCTCTCCTCCTCTTTTTAACTTTTCTTTTTTTTTTCTCAAAGTTTTTGATCTGCCCAAGACGTCTTTACTACCCACTCTCTCATATTTTATTAAACTATCAACATACACCCACCTACAATGTAAGATGAAGCCATAAATGCCACGGTAGTGCACACACTTTACAACCACTCTCTTTTCTTCCACCACATGATCCCCATTTCTTTTCTTTTCTTTTCTTTATTTTCCACTTTCAAACCCTTTATTTTTTTATTTCTTTGAATTCAGATATATATATATATATATATATATATATTTTATTATAATATATTTTTCCTATGCCTACTTTTATTTTATTTTTTTCTATCTTTCTTTTTCCATCAATATTTCATTATTATACACCTCTTTAGTGCGCATCACCCTTTTTTCTATTATCTTATTATTATTTTTTATATTCCACAATAACAAAAAGACGCAGGAAGATCTGCACACCAAACTCATTTTATTCATGTCGGGGCTCACCCCGATCACCATGTTTCCACATACACAAAAAAAAAAAAAAAAAAAAAAAAAAAAAAAAAAAAAAAAAAAAAAAAAAATACAAACAAACAACCACCTTCACAGGTGGGATTTTTCTTCTCTACTATGCCGCCGGTCTTTTCTTCTTGCCTCCGTCCTGGGCGGCCCTTGACGGTGTTGCCTCCGTATTTCCTAGACCACCAAGCACGTTGCCTCCTCCCTGCTCCTCCACTGCAGCATATGGCGGTCCTCCAAATCGGAACATCACGGTAGCCTTCCGCTTCAGCTCCTTGTTTTCCGCCTTCAGCACACTTATCTCTGCTCGCGCATCCTTATACATGCGCTGGAGCAGAGCCAGTTGGCCGTTTAAATGCTGCACCTCATTTGTCCTACTCTGCAGCCGGTGCGACAAGTTTGTGACTGCCGTCATCGTCTCCACACAGGACTTCAAAGTATACTGATTGGCTTCAATGTCAGTTTGCACTGCCATTTTTTGCTCCACAGACCGCATAGGAAAGTTCAACGGAGCAAACCCTGGGGCGCTTGGTTGAGGTTCACTGGCCCCCGCACCAGTTATCTCTCTTGTTGACTCGTTAAGGTCTGGAAAGAGAGTGAGCAGACCACGGGAAGACGAAGCCATTTTCTGGACAACAGAGTGTTACAGAGTATCTCTCTCAGCCCATTGATTTAAAAAAAAAAATAAAAGCAGTGATTGGGAGAGCCTACTCTGTATTTTCAGTGTAGGCTAAGCCTATGACTACCATCCCACAACAGTTAAATGCAATTTTGTCGCTGTAAATTAATTTTGAAAAAAATAAGGTTAGGGATAAATTTACCATTTCAATCTTAAATATCATTTCAAATATATTTTTTAGAGTATGTTTGGAATGTTCTAAATAAGTATATTTTTTTACTTTTTATAAAAGGATATGTAAAAAAGTAAAGAGGAGATATTGATTGATGTGACTCAAAAAAGATAAAAAGATAAAAAGTGTGGACTTATTTTATAGCGACCCCGGTCTTTTCCCATTTGATTATTGTATCCGGACTTAGGTTCCGTAGCTCCTGCCATTGTATTATGATTGTTACCGTCCTTTAATTTCCTATTTCTGAGTTGGGGATGCAATGGGCAGGTTTGTAGCAGGTTGGTTGAGCTTGGGAGCAAAGGGTTGCTGCCCAGAATTTTGACCCTTCGCTCGAGCGAGCAGTTCTTCGCTCGAGCAA